CAAACCAACGAGGATAAATATCTCCCACTGATCCGTGCCAGAACGATAGTAGAATCTGACCAACAATGAAATGTGTGTGCTGGATGCAGAATTTGTGATAACTGAGAGATAATCTAGGACAATAAAAGAGCTGCGGATAAAGCTTGTTTAGGAATTGTGATGGTCTTCAAGGGCGCAACTCTTGACTTTGAGCAAAAAAGAATCTTCTTTGAGACTACACCTCGATATTCTGAACAAACATAATTGCAAGCGGCGTACGCGGCCATACTTGCATCACAAAATCATTGAATTTCGCAGGATGAGTAGATTATTCTCTCCAGAACTCTGGCAACGTTGGCTACTTTCTTACTTTCTTCTGCGAGGTGCTCCCCAAAATACAGTCTGGTATCCATCATAGCTCCCAGGTAACTGATTGCTTTAGACGATTTAATGGAGATACCTCCTACTTGAATTGTGGCTGTCTTCACGCCTTTGCGGATCGGTACGAGGACCGCCTCTGTTTTGTGGTGTGTTATGTCGAAGCGAACCGTTGAGAGCCACTTCTCTATGATGTTGACCGTTGCGTTTCAGAGGTGTTCTGCTTCCTCCACTTTTTGCCACTATGACAACTGCTATGTCATCCGCAAAGCTAATTTCTGTTGTTTTTCCTGACAGTAATAGTTTCAGAACTCAGGGGGCTCCGCAGGTCACCGTATCCCATATTTTAACGTCTATACGTTTATACGTCAGACTGTTTGACTGATTTAACAATTTACGAGTACTTCAGATTCTAAAGATCTGTGTCCTGTTAAATTTTATATCAGCACTCGGTCACACACTTTGTAGGCGGATAATTTAAAACTTAAAATCTTAAAATTTGTTTTCCTTTTTGTAATATTTTGCCGTATTTTGTTGGTGTAGTTTTAATTATTTCCCGAATGGTGTTATATTACATAGTTATCTTGTGTTAGGCTGTGTAAGCCCGGGGTGATATTTTATTAATATTAAATCGTTAACCGACCACACCTACTCTAATGCCAACAAATCGCGGAAAACTGTGGGGTCCACTATATGTATAACATATCCATTATATATTATATTTGTGGCGTCAATTATATCAAAAATGTTGTTTTCGTTTTACCGTGTTTATTTAATTATATATCGATATACCAAAAAAAAATTTAAATCAGAACATTATTTCGGTATAATTATGAATCGTTGGATTTAAGGCCTCAAAAGGAAAGTGACGTCACTATTAGTGGTTAACCAGGCTTTTCTGATAATAGCTGGCACTTCATCCGTTTGCAGTACCAATTTTTAAATTGTATAAGATAGTAACGGATATTTTATAGAACTTGACAACAGAGTTTCTTCTTGTTTAGTTTTGAAATTTGGAGTTTATTTCGCAGTGGACTATCGATGCGAGTATCTTATTTAAATTTTTGGAGTGTCAGTGAAATAGATTTAAATTTTATTGAAATTTTATACAACTGTAAGCCAACACAAAAGAATGCTAAATATGTGCACATTTGTTCCCTGATCTAAATCGTTCATGCTGACCACTTGGTTTGGGTGCCTTGAGGAAGAGGCTGCCTAAGCGTCCTAAAACTGGCGGTCTCATGTCCTGATGGTATCGGCTGTTCTGCAACACCTTTAGCGTAAATTATTGTTGTTTGTTATATTTAGAAGAAGATATTATTGTTCTACTTTACATAATGACTAGAAATTTCAATCAAGTCTTAAAAATTACTTTCCACCTAATTAGAAAGGCCAACAAGGTCGAATTTGGGATGACCATTCCCTTGGTTTTCATTTATGATTGATATATTATTAATGTTCGGATTTACTATATGTAATAATGCACTTAAACTTTTTTGAAAGTCTTTTGCCAAGAAATATTTTAATTAAAAAATTAAAAGGGCGGTATTTTTTCAAGAGCGTAAACGAATAAATCAGAAGGCTTACTAACGCGGATGTGAATAGCATGGAATCTTAAAATTTAGTCCACGCACTTGCAATGATTGTCCTTGTGCTTTGTTGATAGTCATTGCGAAGGCAAGTCGCGCCGGGAACTGCAAACGTTTAGATTCGAATGGCATATACGTAGCTACAACACGTCTTAGCCTTTGAATTTTCCAGTTAAAATTGTTGTTTCCATACCATTATTCATTAACTAAGAGCCTGGTTCCATTGCAAAGTTGAGGTGGATTTCTATTTCGAAGGCGAATGATGATTACGCCAATTTTCAATGTAAGAACGAGCCTGGCAAATCAAGAATTCAGTTGGATAGTTGACAATTTCGTCCTGATTCTTCACAGTATTGTTGGATTTTCTTACAGTCGGCACATAATTTATTCTACACCCATGAGCTGGAAGTTTATTTCCTAATATCTCGAGAAATACCTAACGGATATTGAAATAAAATATCTCAAATGAAAGATAAAGCATATATTTTTTATATTTTAAACATAAAATTAACGAGTTTTAATTTAAATACTAGACAATTTCCTTAATAACGCAAATAAGTATTTTTTTTACGCACAAAAATTATTCGAACACTTCATAAATGTTGAAAAAAATCTTTAGTGTGTCCTTCGTTGGCCTTAATGAAGCTTGAATCCCATTCAGGTATTAATGCGGTTTTTAGGGATTCCTTCGAGGATATATAAACACAGAAATGTTCTATGGTGTTCAAATCTGGTGATTGTAGTGTCGGTTTTTGCTCCTTGCAGTGATATAAAAGCCACTCTTGCACGAATACGAAAGACGCTGGATTCTGTCCAAGCTTAAGGGCACTTGGAATAAATTTTGGCCTAAAATGTCTTCATACATAAATTTATTCATTTTATCTTCCATAAAAACCATTCGACCCACTCCACCTGCAGCTATACACCCATAAACCATCACATTCTTGCCAACGTGCTTAAAAGTTGGAATCAATTTTTTTTCTTCATGGCTTAATTAGCCTTTTGACATACTTTAAAAGAACCGCCGTGTCCAAAATTTTTAATTTTCGATTTGTCAATAAATATAACGTTTTCCCAAAATAATTCCGGCTTGCTTACATGCACTTTTGCGATCTCCAAACGCATTTTTTGTTATAATCAGAAATCAATGGATTTTTACGAACAACTCTACCATGTATACCAGCATTGTGCAGGGTGTTCCGGATGGCTTGGGTACAACATTTTCTTCTGAAGGCCTCTCTAGGGTTTTAAGAAGGGTATATGTTATTCTGGCATTTAGTAACGGTGTATTTACAACTTTATGCTTATCCAGTGGTATCAATATGTGGTTCCTTCCAGATTTTCTATGTTCTACTGCAAATTCTCCAGTGTTTACATATATTTTTTTAATAAACTTTGCTTTGTGGAAGATGACTTGATAATTATTCTACCAATTTCGGGTTAATTGAGGTTCGCTAAATATAATTTTATTATAGTTTCTCGAAAATGTAGGGATAAATCTTGACCCATTTTGTCCAATTACAGCAAAAAAAAAATGAATATCTTTCATTTGAGATATTACATATACGTATTTCTCGAGATATTAAGGAATAAATTATGTGCCAACTGTATATTCTGTGATGTTGATGGTGATGACCAGCGAACGGCAAGGGTACACCCAGACAATGAGTGCACTCGAATAATTTGTGCCTTTTCGGCACTCAGAGTGTGATCGGCATCCTAAAATAAGGGTGTGTGTCTTGCACAGCTCATTTCGAATGTGCACTTGCGCACCCAGTACTCTCTTGCACAGACACTCAACACACTCATAGCAAATGAAGGAAGTGTCTGCAACACCCATGTTTTTGGGATGAGTGAGTCGGTTGTCTTCAAATGATTCGAGTGCTTCGGGTGTCTTCAACTGATCTGAGTGTTTCGGGTGTCTTCAGCTGTATTGCATGAGCAGATCATTGAGGGTTGACCGAATAATTTTACATGAAAGGAAGAAAGGAAATCGAAATGTATAAGTGTGATTCGGGTGCCGAAAAAAGACACCCTTGACGTTCTCTGGTGATGACATCAACGTTTTTGGCCGTCAATATACACTGAGCTATGTAAGTTAACACTCCTGAGGGGTAACAAACAGTCGGTAGAAATCTTGGGTGATTCTTGGATCACCCTAGTCTTTCTAGATGCCGACTCAGCATACTCGCCTTTGGGGGCCGTGCCTGGATCCCATTGGTTCCCGGTATGGTGAGTTATGCTCATTTTGCGATCGTCAGCATATTCCACTGTCATGCGGTCGGCCTGCCGACTAAGCACTCTATTGCTAAGTTCCTCAGTTTTGTTTTATAATCATTTGAATAAAGAGTATTTTGCTTCGTTAACTTTACTCTGGCTATCGCCGTCTTATTATTTGCATTCGCCCACTGAGATTAAGGCCAGGGGTATAGGGGGCAGTCACCCTCTCGACATAAACTTTATTTTACACTTCATCAACCACCCTACAGGTGGCACTCCATCAGCGGCCACCTGGGACCAGCAGCCCGGCCACCAATTCTCACCTATCTTGAACCGCTACTACTCATTAAGCACCCTACCGGTGCCACCTCATCATCGACCGGATCTGGAACAGCCTTACCACCGGGCTACCGACTACAAGATAACTTGTATATTGATTTTTGTGAAATATGTCGGCAGGGTAAAAGATAGCCTAGTTTCATCAATTACCATTCGCCCATTTCCAATATCCATTAATTGTTTTGCAAATATTTTAGGCTATGCATCATCTTGTAGTTCCTCACCAATTTTTGTAATTGACGCCATAAAATGGATGATTTGAGACATGTTAAGTTGATCAGAAGGTTTTGAACGTGATATAGCCGGCAGTGTTTGTCGAAAATCACCAATCAATAAATGACACTGAAATCTCAGAAAGATCTAGAAAGACTAAGAATGTATATTCTTGAGAGGCCAGCTCATTACGTGACAACGCCCACTCACTTCAACTGCAAAACCGATAACCGTACTCGCTTAAAACGCTGCGATATCAGTAAATATAAGTGATAGAAAGTTGGGTTTAAGCATCTAGTTTCCAAAGCATATTGATTTTTTGCCAAAAATGCGAAAAAGGCTAAAGATGCAAAATGCACGAAGATGATTTTTTATTCTGCACGATTACGCCCACAAACCGAGGAAAACTGTGGCGCGTATTTTATTAAATTAATTAATTTATGTTTTCTATTCATTTATAACAATTTGTGTCAGTACCTATCGATTTACAAAAATGTTCAACTCAGAACACTATTGATTTATTAAGAAATATAGCTTATAAGGTATAAATTGCAGGTAAATGCGAATGTGTTTGTGGCCCTTAACACCGAATTGTGTAAGGAGCGCTGAGAATTATCAAAACCATATTTAATAATTGCTTAACTTTAAAAACAATCATGTAAATAGTTTAGCCCTAGGTCTGGTAGACAATAGCTGACGTTCAGAAAACTCAAAAGATTTCACATTCTTGATCTCTCTGATAGGTAAATTTAAGTAAACCAGATATTTCCTATTATACTTAATAGCAGGTTTCAGTGGAAATCTGATATTCCTGTTATGTAAATATAAGTCATAAAATTTACTTATTGAAAATTTAAATTTAAAAAATGAAAATTAAAAAAGCAAGTTATTTCTACTAACAAAATTATGTTGAATAAGGTTTACATGGAAATGGCTGTCAAATAGTAGCAGCACTTCACTGGGAGATTCTTATTTTTAGATGCAATAAATAAAAAACAACTAATCATCTATATTTTTATTTTCAGCATTAATTTTTAGGGTGTGATCTGATGCCGGTAGCAAAAATGAAAACTTGGGACAACTTCAAATATATAGCTGGGTCTTATTACATTAAAAAGAGCATACTGTACCTGAATATTATTGGATCTACCAAAACTCAAACGATGAATAATAAATCCGCTTCGATGATTCTATTCAAATTGAGCCAAAATGTTATAGCTTATGGCGTAGTTCTGTTACTTATCGAGGTGACAAACATAACTGAAAGTCAGTCTATGCCTCATACACATGGTAAATATTATATAGGTTGGAATATAATATATATAATTTATATAATATATATAGTAATATATATATATATATATATCGTATATATTATATATAGTATAAAATTTAAGTTATATGCCCGAAATTCATCCTGACTTTTGTAGAAAGAGCCTTTATCAACATGTATCATATGAATGATAAGTTATTATTAAAAAAAATTTTCTTTAAGGCTTATGCTTCCAATAAGATTGTCGTTCAAGGCTCAAAGGAAACGTCGAGCTAAAATCCCGAACTAGAAAGGCAAAATAAACAGTACTTATATACCAATGACACTTATACTTCTTTGTCAGTTAGGTACCCGGAAATACTAATTTTAAAATTTTCCAATGAGAATATTTAAAAAAAAAAGTTAACTATTTTTCATTTAGCTTGTTAACGGCGTTATTGGTAACAAGTCGACCTTTTGTGTGTGTGGGTTCGCTTTTTATTATGAATAAAAATATCGAACAAAGAATTTGTGAAAAATTTTGTGTGTCAAACAAAATGTCTTGTACCAAAACGTTGGTAATGTTGAAAAAACATTTGTTGATTCAATCATGTCGCAAACTGAAGTTTCCGATTAATAAGTTTTTTGTTTTTTATTTAAAATTTTCGGGAACTTATTTGACAGAATGTATGATGCTCCTCTAGAAAACCCACTAACCAATAAAAAAAACTTCGATCAATGGATATATATGTACATACATGTATGTACTCTGGGAGCCAACCACGCGGACTGCAAAACCCACGAAAACTTCGAAACTTTTGTTACTAACTGCCTACACGCCAATTCCTTTCACATAAAAATAATTAACGTACATTGTCTCCCACGATTAAATATTCAACAAAAAAATGTTGAGTTCTAGAACTCTGTAGATGGCAACGGCATTATAGGAGATGACTAAATTGCAAAGCAGAAATACTGACGCTCCCTTCTCGAGAACCCAAAGAGTCGTTAACAGGGCCGAATTTACCCCATGTTCTCTTAGTGCTTAGGCAATGACTGGAAATTTTTGGGCGGCAAAATATGAAACGAAAATCAACAATCTTTATACGCTTACTCGTAGAGTCAAGGGGAATATTAGAAACGTTGAAAAGAATGCAACAGGTAGAAGGAAGCGTTTCCGACCGTATAAAGTAAAGTCACGGAAAACCGAAAACGCTAAAATCTCGGGAACCATAAGTGCCAGAAAGATAGACTTGGGAATACGTATTTTAGATATGCAACAGCAGCTCGACGCGAGTTTTCATCAGCCCACGCCCACAATAACGCTCACAAACCGCGGAAAACTGTGCTGGCCATAATATAATATTAAATGACATCGTTTGACGTTGTATAATATTTTAACCATTATTTCGCCATTTATAAAGAAATGTAAGTTATAAGGCCTAACATGGACAGTGACGTTACAATCAGTTAGTGAACATGTGAATTTTTTAATTTTAAAATCTACTATAGCGTCGCTTCTTGTTCTTATGTATAGCTTGAAATAAATAAAAAGGCGGAATTTTCTACTGATTCACAACTCAGTCAACAAAGCTGTCACTACCGCAGTAATTATTCCAAAAACCAAAAATATTCGGTGAAGCTGATATTAAAAACTCACTAAAATAATTTATCAAAAATTTTGTCTCCGCTACCAAAGCCTCTTAGCCATAGCACAGTTTTCAGACAAACGCAGCTCAACGGGCCAACATGGAACAACACTTTCCCACATGCAACAAATGCTCTCTGGAGATCTTACACGGACTACCAGACACCGATCAATACGCACAGCTAAGAATAAAGAGTTAAAACGTTTGCATCCCATTAATAAAAGAACTTTAAGCTCAATCTGCCTGATTGTGCACTTATGTATATCAAATAGATAAAACTTAAACATTAGTATTGTTTTGAGCGGGCATTAATTTATGGCACCTGTTTTTAGATATGTTTTACAACTTATAATTATACAAAAAAATGCGGTGCCGTGAACGGTACGAAATAAAAAGCCGGGAGATTTTTTCTATGATGTATTTTAGCAGCGCTGTACTTGCGAGCGCTTATCTCGGGTTATCTTATAAATAAAAGAGATAATTTAGCATACAGTTATGCTGAACAAATTGTAAGCAAAGATCCTGGTATTAGCTAAATGACTGCTCCCAACGTACTCCCCCCGTTGGAAGAGCCATACTTCCAAGCGAAGTGGTTTTGAGGGGCAGGACAGCTAAATTCTATGTTGCCCGCTTGCGCAATTCGGAGTTAGTGCGGATCACCGCAACTCTATCGAAGCCATCATCTCCGGAGACAGTGTTCTCCACCCTGCCGAGGCGCCAGCGCAAAGGGGTAAGTTGTCCTCCTTGATGAGAATCATGCTCAAAAGTAAACTATCCGATAGCGTATCCCATGCTGGGCCAAAGCTCTTGCAATATCCGCTCTTTTAGATGCTAGTTTAGCATCGAGTGCCTTAAACCGAAGGTGGGAAGGTTGTGGTTAAAATAGCTGATCGCCTAGACCATCCTACTTCGAAATGGTTGCTGTAGAATCTGTACCATTTCTATTTAATGTGTCAGAAATTGACTCAGACTCAGACAGAGTGCTGGGTTCTAGAATCGAGGAAACTGAAGTTGAGCGTAGAGGCTTCTACCTTTCGACTCCCTGAGACGATCCAGCCAAGTCTGGCCTTCTGCAGGGTGGGTAAATGGTTTCCTAATCGAATTTGTCCAATACAAAGCAGCTCGAAGAATAAACTTGCTCCCATAAGCAAGTCAATGCGGAGACTTTTGTACCACTCAGGTGGGTTAAAGTCGAACTGTGGGTGAAAATCGGTGTTTGACCGGGTAACGGCAGATAGAAAGGACGAGCTGTACTTGGCATCAGCGGATTGTGCGAAAATGTTGACCGACTCATCCGATGCTCATCATTCAAAAATGTATTTAACGCCGCAAGTTGTCGCGCCACGGAGCTTGACTTTGCCCGATAAAAGTTTTCTTTATCTTGGGTACGTTGCACAAGTTCTGTTTTATTTGATTCCGACATTTTGAATTCTTTTCGGAAAGGTTATACAACAGTCACTGCGCGAACTTTCTGATGCACTTGACTAACGGCGATGAAAGCGAGAATAGAAGTAGCGGGTAGAACGGAACCGAAAAACCTCCGCTTAGGAACTGAAATTATGTAACGCTCGGCGTTGTGCAAAAGTTTTCGTAATGTACAGCAGCCGATGCTGACTGCAGCTTTGGTTTGCAGGTATAAGCGAATACCGTACAAGCGATGCGAATTTAGCTTATTGACCTTCACATCGAATTGTGTAAGAGGCGCTTGGAATTATTAAAACGATATTTAATAATTTCTTAAGTTACACACGCGTTCACGATCACGTCGGGGTCACCAAATGTTTTGAGTAGGGCATTCATTTATTCCACCTGTTTCTAGATATGTTTTACAACTTATGATTATAAAAAAATTCGGTGCCGTGAACGCTGCGAAAAAAAGGCCGAGAGATTTTTTTCTTTGATTTATTTTAGCAACGCTTCGACTGAATGTTGACAGCGATAGAGAACGCAATGTAATGGGGCGAGCCGAGCTTTCGGCGACTCGCAAGCGCTTATCACGGCTTGACTTATAGATAAAAGAAATAATGAAAACAGTGATGCTGAACAAATTGTAAGCCATGATTCTGGTATTAGTAGATGACTGCTCCCGACAATTATCTTTTGAATAAAAAAATGTATATTAATAGAAAAATCCATCGTTTTTTAATGGAAGTTCTATACCTCGAAAAAAAACACCCATTTTAACTAACGTCTTCAGAAGATAATATTGTTTTCTTTATGTTTCATTTAGTCTGTATTTTTAATGTTAATACATAAATAAACTTTGTAAAAATATGAAATAATTAACTATTTGTAAATTGAATAAAAAAAATTTATTGTTTATTTTACTTAAATAAATTTAAAAGAAATAAAAGAGTCATTAATAGAAAAAATATTTTTTTATTTAAATGTTTTTGAAAAATATTATTTTTAAAAAATTTATAAAAATATATATTAAAAGGGGCTTGCAAATGGAAAGCCTTTCTACCTCTATATCATATACACGCAAAGAGGTTTTAAAAAATGTTTGCTTTTGCAGTATTGTCTTTTAATTATTGCTTTAGGTTAAAGTTTTTCATGTTTACTACGTCGATTTTATTCATCATTTTCTTTGACAGTTACTAAGGTCGCCTGTTACGTTACACAACTTTGAGCAATAAACTGTCCTTGCTGAGACACGCTATAGCCTGTAGCTAGTCGTCTTAGAGGGTGGTGGACTTGCTGCAGACAGATGGTACTAATTTCTCAATTAAAACATAAGGTCATGAAATGAGCGTGAGTACCGGAAAACTAAATGCAAGAAAGACCCGGTAGAATTCTATAGAGGATCAATATTTTTAAGGAGAAAATAGTGAAGGATAGAAGCGAAAATATGTAAACAATGCGAATCTACTAATGTAAATGTGATTACACTATGCCCTCCCAACCTATGATAATTATCCATGAGAAGATTTAATAAATGCCCCAAAGCTAAATCTAACTTAAATGCTAAAGGAAATAAATAATACAAATTTTAAAAATTTAAATAAACACGACGTTTAATAAGAATTTAATTTAATATTTTTGACGCAACATGGTAAAGATCCGGAATCCGTAAACAGCCGAACTTTTAATCGCAGATGCAGTGGCGGAAATTCTGCCAATCTACATTTTAAGAACAACCCGCTCCCTGATCAAAAATTGCCTTTAGCCTATGTTAGGCTTAGCAGTTAACAGTGGGATCTACTAACGCCACCTATTGTCTATACCCTACTCTGTCTACTCTGTCCACATTAAGAAACGGCTGCAATAATTTATATGTAACGGCTAATTGAACTAAATACGGCTGTCAGCATAAACCTGTTCTTTACTTACTCATTTTCATTTTAAAGTCCCTTCAGAACACCAACTTCTTTCATTGCTGAATCATA